GGGGGGGGGGGGGGGGGGGGGGGGGGGGGGGGGGGGGGAAGGGACCACTTCACTGTTGATGGGAGTGTAAACTAGTACAATCTCTGTAAATTAGTACAACCACAGTGTGGCAATTTCAAGATCTAAAAATCGACTTTTCATACGACCCCATAATCCCTCTGCTGAGAATATACCCAGAGGAACTCAAATCACTCTATGAAAAAGATACCTGCACACGTATTTTTATTGCAGCATTATTCACAATAGCAAAAACATGGAACCAATCGTGCTGCCCATTGAAAGAGGACTGGATTAAAAAATGTGGTACATATACATGATGGAATATTACACAGTCATAAAGAAAGACAAAATTATGAACTTTGCAGTAATTTGGATGGACTTGGAGTCTATAATACTGAGTGATCTATCACAGAAACAAAGAACTGAGTACTATATGTTCTTACTCATAAGCAGACCTTGTATAATTATAATACTATAAGAAAGGGATTGGCAGAGGTGGGAAACTCCTGGGGAGAGTTGGAATTGGCAGTAGTGGGTGGCTGCCAGGGGACGGGGGGCACACCTCGTCAACAAGGGTACCTGTGTAATGAACAATTGTATACCTAACCCTGAATTGTACCCTGCATCTTTAAAATGAAAATTTTAAATAAATGAGCAAACACACCCGAAAAACAAAACAAAGCAAAACAAACAAGAAGGAAGGAAGGAAGGAAGGAAGGAAGGAAGGAAGGAAGGAAGGAAGGAAGGAAGGAAGAAAGGAAGAAAGAATCAATCTAGCAAAAAAGCCGACCTCAGTATCCACTTATAACTTTCCCAGGTACAAACTGGGAAACACTCTGAAAAACATAGGACCTTACAATCTATCAATTAAACTGGAGAGTGAAATTTCATGTCATTCTTCTCCCCAGATAAGAAGTACTACATAGGAAGACTAAAATTTAATTGGAACTTTTTATCAAACTATTACAAAATTACAATGAGGTGATCCATTGAAACCTGCATTATACAAACAAACTTCCTCAGCTAGCTTTAGAATCAGAACAGCAACGCAATGATTTGGGATTTCAGCTTTAGCTAATTCAAGGGACTATGCTGCAATTGAAGGGCAAAGAAAGGTCAATTTTTCTCAATTTGTATATTTTTCTAGATGCAACTAAAGAAAAGAAATAAGAGCTTCAACATTATATGTTGGAACAGAATAAGAAGAACGACTGCACTGTAATTCCTTGAAAACTCTGGAATGCATTATATTAAATTCTCTTATATGTTGTGTGGTTTACAAATCACATTTTTAATCCAAGTTTAGAGGGTTGAGAGGCTTCTTAAAATTCAATTAAAATGATGTAAAAAAGTCCACATTATGATATGCTCTTTTTAGAGACCTTTGCATTTGACAGGAAAATTTTTATCTCTTTATCTTAAAATAGGGTAAAGAAATGCTAGTTTAATTTTCTCTTTGTTTTAATATTTCTTGAGTGCTTCTCAATACATAGTCTCTGAAAGTGTTAGATTACTGACATGACGCTATTTTAGAAGATGTGGAAGATTTTATTTATATGAGTTGGCATTTTAATCTTTTTTTATGCTTAGGAAAAGATTGTAATGTACAATACTATATTCTAATTTTCTATATAAATACATATTTCATACTAGGATCTAATATGAGTAAGAAATGCCCCCCAAAGTTCAGTGTTATTGCAAGAAATAATTATTCTTCATAATCATTGCAGAATTCCTCTCTTCATAGAATGGACTTTCACTAACAGTAGGACAAAAACATTTTCAAATTAGAAGACACTTGAGTCCTTACATATGTAAATATGTCAAGCAAATCTATGATTGTCTTATTAACGAAAGCATCCTCAAATTTCTCCGTGCTTTATTTGTACCCACACATCATCACAAATCCATATCTACTATATGAGATCCTGGAACTGCAGAGAAATACATGTTCAGAGTACATTTACTTTTTCAGACCAAAGTAACAATTAACAAAAACGCACTTTGCTTTTGGCCCTTTCAGCATGCTATTACTTTTTTCAAAAATCAGCATTTATATTGAACTTAGGCTTTAAACAAAGCAAGGAAGTACATATGTTCATAAATATGTGATAACCGAAATATCAGACACCCAAATGTCATATATTCTTAAGATTTTTAAAATTATAACTTAAGTGGCATGTTTCAGACCAAACACCCTATGCTATTATGTTATTTGTTCAAAAACTCAAACACATATTTTGTTGAATGGCTGTAAATGTGTTTTGGTGCATTGGGAGCTATTTATATGCATCTATTTCTGTAGCTAGAAAATAAAATATACTACATCATTAACTGTTAGGCCCTCCATGTGACAGTACCAATGACTGATAACCCACTGGCTTGATTAGACAAGTGTGCAGGGCTCATAATTAAAGAGTTTCACTTTCATCACAAAAGGGACTAGAGCATGACAGCATTTCCTCATAAATTTGAAGATGTTATATAAATAATTAATAACTCTGCTGTGACAGAACACAATTCTTGAGCAGAACTTGACTACCAGATTTAAATGTCAAGCCTGAGAGTTTTTGAATATCAAACATCATTATGACTATGGCGTTTTAACAAACAATCATTAAAAGGTAGTAGGAATCCAAGCAAAGGATCGTTTTTGATAAAGAAAAAAGACCTGGCATGTTTATATTTTGGAAAACAAAGATCAAACATCTCTATTCAATCATTCTAAACACTCGCCCTACTCCCAACAACAACAAAGGGGGTTAAAAAAATATCACCTTGGTTTCTAAAAAAATGACAGCCGTATTAACTTCTGCAGAATTTGCTTTAGAGGCACAATCTTGCTATTATTAACTTTGGTAGTACTTTTCTCTGATGCGGCCATGCACTGTACTAGAAAGCCAGTCAGTGTTTATCTTCCCTTGTTTGCGTCACCTAAGTCCTTGTGCTTAACTTCCTCTACACGATTTAAAGATGGATTTGCACCAGTTGTTCTTTAGACACTTGAAGTGAAACATGCCGCCCAGGTGATGCTTTTGTTGCCCAAGTGACATTTAGAAGCAGGGATTCACTTCAGCTTGTCAACTTCCTTTAACATGTCAAGAAATAGCAAAGCTGAATCCCAGATGTGGTCCGTTAATCCTACTGTTGCAAAATAAACTATGTGATTCCAGTAAACACAACTACCCATTAGCACTAAGAAGTGATAGGAACCATTTGTTAAAGGTGACGATGTTCTCTGACTGATAATACTCTTTTGATCATGTGATTCATCTTGTTTGCTCAACAACATGGTGTGTGTTTTTCCTGAGAGGAAGGACTGCAATATATATTTACTTAGAGCTTTTAATTTATACTTCCTTTTCTTCTAATTGGTGTCTTGTGATCTAAAATTAGCTGGTGAACACAGTATCTCACTCAAACTCTCTCAGCTGAGTTTTTAATAATTAGACCCACCATCGCCTGAAGTTGAACAGACATCTGGAGATTTGGCTTTTTATTTCTTCCCTGGTGCTTTCTATCCATATTTAGAGAGTGATTTTTTTTTATTTGACATAGAGTTATATTAATTATTATCCCCCAAGCTGGAGTTAGGTTAATAATTTCATGTAGAAAATGAAGTTCAAACAGTCTTGCCTGTAGCCTTACTGAATAAAAAGCCTACACGTAAAGGAATTCTTTCATGAAACCTGAGATTATCAGAGCATTGTAGTTCACCAATAAGCTGGATATCATTTATACAAGCAATAAAAGGTCACGTGTCCTCTAAAATCCCACATTTGCTACAGACATTCCTTCCTCTATTATTTTGTTTGTGCAGTAACTAGATACAGGTACAATGAGAATGAATTAGTTTTCCCAGATGAGTGAGGAAAATAAATGCCCCCCAAATGCTGAAAGTCAGATTTTATCTGTCATTCTTTCTTGTTCTCTTTCTCTCTCTCAGAAAGAGGCAATACTCTTTTTGGAAGAACTGCAAGGATTGAAAATGATCCACATTTTTAGAATTCGCCCTCACCTTGACAACGCTAAAATTACAAGCAGCAGTCAACTTTTACAAGATACCCTTATTGTGTAACATTTATAGGCTGCCAAAAACATGCTAAAACTAATCAGATAACAAAGGTGAAGAGAAAACCTTCACCTGCCTTGTACTAGCAGTGAATACACTTTTATTTCCATGACATTTGCTGGCAGAAAGGGGTTGGTTTAAGGCGGGTCGGACTAACCTTCAATTTGTCATAGCGCTCACTCAAAGCTGCCACCTGATGATCGCGGTGCCGCCCAACCAGTTTACACAAGGCACAGATTAACTGGTCATCGGTCACGCAGTACATATTCACCTTCTCATCCTCGTGCTCCAAGCACATCAGCCCCCGGATGTGTGAGTCCGGAATTGGCTCAATCAGACGATGGCCTGTAAAGGGCTTCTTATTCGGGTGAGTGGCTTTCAGGCACTCATCACAGTAGGACACTTCGCAAGTGACACAGGTCTTCACAGCGTCCTGGGCAGGATCCTGGTCACAAAACTGGCAGAGGACCTTCTCGGCGGAGGTCATGGTGTTGGCGTCAAAGGCCCGCTCCCGGCGGGTCTCACTGGGTGAGTTGGGTCCACTCACTGATGCCTTCTGAAACCTGTCGATGATGTTCTGCAGGGTGACGTTGCGCTTGAGCCCGTCTAGACCTCGCTGGCTGAGCGTGATGACATGCCGGCAGGTGGGGCACTGGAAGGCTGTGATGGACTCCACGGACTCGTTGGTGGCACAGTGTGACACCAAGATGCGGTGGGCGCAGTTGAAGCAGAGGCTGTGTGCGCAGGGCAGCAGGAGAGGATCCTCAAAGAGCTCCAGACAAATAGGGCAGGTCAGTTCCGACTCCAGTGTTTCCATCTTCAAGCAAAGCTCTCCTGTGTCATCAGCAAAATCCAAGGAAGCTGATCAGCTATCTGGAAACAGAACATAAGATTTGATTAGGCACAGGGGGGTCAGCCATGGGAGGCTGTCAACTTTGAATGCATCTCAGAAGAATTCCAAACACAGGTCATGAAAGGGTAAGTGTGTGTACATTCCAAATAATTCTCTTTCTATTCATTGGGGAAATAAGGAGGAAAAAAAACACCCCAAGTCAGCATACCAGTTAACATTTTCCCAAAGTTCCAGTCACTGAAAGTTGCTAATTTTCTTTTCAATTTTGTTTTTTAAAGGCCTCATTCAAAAATGAAAAATAATTGAAATTGTAATTTCCATAATTTGTATATAGTCACAATTATCTTATTGTGTGACCGCCAGGTTTTACCTTGTGTGGAAAATTAAAATGTAGAAACATTCATTAAGGAATTATAGAGTCTTTTATAATTTTGAATTTATAAACTTACATATTAATGTATATGTGGTTTAAAAACTTTTACTTTGCAATACCAAACCAGGCTTTGGAGCAGTAGAAACGCAGTTCTACAAAAATGGACATGAAATGTACATGGAATCAAATGCACAATTTCAGCAGAACTGATCATGTTTAAGTACGGATGTCATTTTCCAAAATATATTCCTGAGAAAAAGCATTGAGTTTCACAAAGATGATTGTGATAGAGGCAATATTTTTGGCGTGTGTTCATTACTCTTCTGAATAATTCTATTGTGTAATCCAGCAGTGGGTTGTGGATGGGCAAAGAGAAGCAGAGAAAAATATCTGGAGGCTTTTTTGGTGACTGCAGTGAGTTTGGGTACCAATGATTAATATTTAGTACAACCATTTTAGTTAAGTAGAACAAAGATTTTAGTGGTTATCATATTTATTTGATAAGTTATGTTATGACAATGATAACAATTACAGAAAGCAATTTAAGGGGGCTTACAAAGACTGCCAAGGGACCTTCCAGTCTAAAATCTCCTGTCATGGGCTTGTCACTGTTGCCAGCAACAGGCCAGGCTGGCTGGAGGTCTGGTCTCACACTCAGAGCCGTGTTGGCCCAGGCACGACCTCCACCAGCTTTGCAGTTCCCCTCCAGGCCACCTTCGGGTAGCCCAGCTGCCTGCTCTCCTCGCCATGAAGACCTGGCTGCTTTTGTGAACTCTCGTCTCACTTCCCTTCAAAAAGGGTAGGGGAAATAATCCCACACAAACCCCGGTTCATTAAGGGTGAAGAGGCCTCATGCTCATTAGTAGGCCTGGGAACCAAGCCACTTTGAACCTTCTCCCTTTCAAGACCATTAGCGGAGGTCTGCAGAACAGTGACACGAATATTAGATGCAGCCCACTGCGGGCTGTGGGAGAACAGTGCAGTTAACCCAGTGGTTGGGAAGTTCAAATCACCCACAATGGGGGTAAGGGGATGGGGGGTTAGGTGTTCTCAGCTGGATTTAGGGGAAGGCCTCAAACTCAAAAGTTATGTTTAGTGACTCTAACAATTGGTTTTTTGTATTCACATAGTGGTGCTTTGGTGAAACTAATGCTCATCTTGCTACCAACTGAATGATAACTAATCATTAAAAGTATAAAAGTAAGCCTGTTAAAAATTCAAGAGTTACTGACTTAATAAAAGCCTGGTATTGTAGAAGACCTTCAACCATTCACTGATATTTTACCACATAAGAAAGAATAAAGGAGCAGCTGTACTTTGAAATATCAAAGCATGTTCATCTTTCCACAACCTGCAAAGGAAACCCACGGGCTGTGTTGTAAGGAACTTCGCATCCCCACTTGGTCCCAGTCAACTCTTCTTATAGATGGTTCTGAAGAAATGAAAAATTTTCACCCATTAATTATGGGGAAAAGCCTAGAGTTATCTCTAAATATAATATCTTCCTTTTTCCATCAGAAGCATAGAAAGTAAAGGAAAAATATAGCCCCTTTGGTCTGCTTTGTTCTCAGGTGAAACAAGAACACCTGCTGATGGATTGCAACAGAAGGATGAGCACCAAGTTATGTCTGGAGTGCTATGAGGATAGTATTTTTAATGCAGATGCTAGGATTATACCCTGGAGAGGTACTATCAGAATTTCTAGAGAGAATTCCATTGGGAACCCCAATAAAAATGCTGACATTTTATTCATTCATTCAAGAGATGGTTACTGTATGCCAGGCACTGGGTTGGCTCAAGGAGCCAGAATCTGGCATTTTCATCACCTCACCTCTAGTACCATGGGCCAAAGCAGCAACGTGTCTTATGTGGGTTATCACAAAACCTTTCTAACTAGTCTGTTGGCTTCTGTTTACTCTTGCCCTTCCCCTGTATAGAGTACCTTCTACTCAGAAGTCAGAGCGTCCATGAAAACATGACAGAACATGCTTTTCCTTTGCTGTGCTCTCCAGGGGCTTCCCATCTCACTCAGAAAGAAATCCTCCAGACTAATACCAGTCCCAGAAAACACAGACTCAGACAGTGAGCTCATTCCTCCCACCTACTCACTGCTCTTTCTGATCCGGGCACATGGCCCCCTTGTGATTACCCAAACATGCCAGACACGTCCCATCTCCCGCTCGCCCCCACAAGGTCTTTGGAATCCACATGACTCTCTGCTCCAGTGTCTTTCTCTCTGTGAACCCACATAAAACAAATTCCTCTTCTACCACCATGACCACCCACCTATTGGGGCATTTCTTTCCCCATCTCAGTTTATTTCTTTCCATAATATTTATCACTGATGTATTCTATTAGTTTGTTTATTGCTCCTTCTTTCCCTCACTGTCCCCAACACTAGAATAAAAGCTCTATGAAAGCAGAATTTGTTTTGCTTTTTAAAGGACATACCACCAGCACCTAGAACAGTTAGGATTCAACACATTATAGGATTCAAACATGTACTGACCCCATTAAATGTACTGATGTTTGGGCCAAAAAAAAAAAGAAAGAAAGAAACATAGCCCTTGCTTTTAAGGATCTCTCAGTATATTAGAAGCAGGGTCAGCAAACTTCTACAAAGGACAAGATAGTAGACATGTTTCGCTTTGCAGGCTATGGGGTCTCTGTCACAACTACTCATCCCCACCACCATTGGTGCAAAAGCAACCATTCACAATACATAAAGGAATGAGTGTGGCTGTGCTCCAACACTACCGTATTTAGAAAAACACAAGCCAGAATTGGTCTGCAGATCTTATTTTGCTGGTCCGTGTATTAGAAGATAGAGACATGTACAGCTAATCAGAACATAAATGAAACTCACTCAGAGAGGTACAGATAAAACGCTGTGTGGGCAACAATGGCATGGATGGTAGAGCAAGCCTTGGACAAGCATGTACAAGTTCCCAGTGCTAACGGGAAATGATATGCAATGGGGTTTCAACCTGACATCGGTGGAAATCACATGAGTCAAGTGCTTGAGGGCAATTCATGTAAGAAGGATTTAACAGCAGCTTCTCAGAACTGAATTGTTTCCTTTCATTGCCATAGTGCTTGGCGTGGCGCTTTGCATAAGTGTCTACACCACAGATGGTTAATTGTATTAAGCAATGACAAAATACCTAGATGTAGTAGGTGAGGTGCAGCCACTTTTCAAAATCTTTTGCCTTTATGCTGCCAAAAAGGAAGGGGTTTGGGTTTGATATCTATAGTGGATCCCATTTTTTCCACTTTTATCCAGATTTTGCCATGGTGTAAATACAGTTTTTGTTAAATCACTCAACAATATCTTACTTGTATGCATTCCCTTACCCCTCCAAAAAATTAGCATGGTTTATTTTCTAGTTTTCTTTAAGATATCTTTTTGAGGAAACTAAAATGCCATTTATATTTTCACCAAATATTGAAGTCCTTCTATGTGCTTGATCCTGGGACAAGTACTAGTAACACCTAGCCCCTGCCTCAGTGAGCTTATGGTTCATTAGGGGAGAGAAAATAATGAACAAATGGTAATGCAACATAACAAAAGATGCATGCCAAAGATAGACAGAGTAATCAACTCTATACTGGTGAAGAGGAGACAGGGAGAAGCTTCCTGAAGGAGGTAAAGTGTGAGGTGGGTTTTAAAAGATGAACAGGAGTTCATGGGGCAAATAGTGATTGGTGGGTGGGGATGTTGTGCAAAATGTCGTTTTTCTTTTTTCTTTTCTTAACCCTCAGTTTAATTTCCATGCCTCAAACAAAAAAAAAAAAAAAAGAAAAAAGAAAAAAAGCTTCTTAGCCTTGACTTCAATAGAAGGAAACCACACATGCATATTGTCATCAGGAAATTCTACAGCTCAACATTTTTGTGAATGGACAGATTGGTCCTCATTCAGAAGAGGATGTGGGGAATCATAGGAACCCCTTGCAATAAACTGGGAGTGGCAACAATTCGCAGTTCACACCTCTGCCTGTCTGTGGTTCCTACATCTAGAACAGGGCATGAAATAGTGAGTGGAAGGGGAGAGTTGAATGGGTGGCCAGACAATTTGGACATTCTGCAGTTCTGTTACTTGTCAGCTATTTGCATATCCATGGGTGAGTGTGCACAGATGTTCCTTCCAATTCCTCTAACACTCTCATCACACACCAAAGCAGGAGAGTCTTCAGTGACAGGTTGCAGTAAAGCCCTGCATCCCAGGATGCACTGGACACAAGACATCTTTTCAAGAAACCTCTTTATAGATTCAGGATTTATGAGGAAAGCACTTCTTTAAAATGAAAAATCAATAAAAATAGTTTTGATGGAAAATAATGATGTGCATGTTTTCACACACCTCCCCTTCCTCCTTTCCCGTCCTCTCTCATTCTGTGTGTCTTATTAATTTTGTGTTGCTATAACATAATACCTGAGACTAGGTAATTTTTTTTAAAAAGAGGTTTATTTAGCTCACATCTCTGCAGGCTGGGAAGTATGAGAAGCCATTCATTCCCTTAAGAACCAATTCAGTCTCACAAGACCAAGAACTCATTACCCTATGAAGGCACCAAGTCATTCAGGAAGAATCCGCCCCCATGACCCAGACACCTCCCACTAGGCCTCACAACCACACTGGAGATCAA